CAGAATTGTAGGTTTCTGCTCAGACCACTTTGCTGCCAGTCATAGGAGCTACATTGGATTGTAGCATGACAGGGTGAACTATACAGAGGTGGAACAGACGAGGAGAAGCTTCTGGAAAGAGGAGGAGGAGAGCAAGTGGGAGAAGGACTCTGTGGCCAGAGTATTCAGCTAGCAATTCTTCCACCTCAGTCTCAATAAGGAAATAGAGGACAGAGTGTGTCTCGTCTGTGACGTAAATGGTGAAAGTAGCCAGAAATCACTATAACCATCCCCAAACTTCCCATTTTCATAGAGCGGGAATGATGTAAGGTTGGGAGTCTTGTTTGCATCGCTCTCAGAGGCAGCTAGCCACTTAGCTCAGCAATCGCTCCCACTCCTGTGTGCTATGGTGCGGTAAGTGTTGGAAACCCAGACAGTGCAGATTAGAGGAGCTGTGAACTCTACAGATTCAGTCAGGTAGCTGAGGTACCTGAAGAAGTATGGCACTCCTTTGAATTTAGTCATGGAGCACATTTGGCGGAGGAGGTAAACTGTCCTTTGAGAGAGGTTCAGCAATATTTGGGAAAAAAGGTAAGACACCCCTTTTAGGAGAGATCAGGGACTCTGTGGGATTGTTAAAATTCGACACGCTTCAGTGTAAGAAAGTGTGCAAACTCTGACAACATGTGCCTTTAAGCGGGATTTGTTCTGTCCTCTTTCTCTTGAAGGGCTGTGTTGTAAATCTGGTACCAAGGTGTCTGCCCCACGAAAAGCAGAGTAAATAGCTTTGGGCTTTGTTTTAAAGTAGGCAAAAGAAGCATGAGTGGGTGGAGTCAATCTCACACAGACCCAGAATTTTAGCTTTTGCCTTCAGTTGTTGAAGTTGGGAATTTGGAGTTGAAGCTGCTAGATACAGCTCTCTCTCTGCTGCTGACCAAAGCTCGAGTTTTGTCTCTGCTGCTCGATTCATTCTTTCATTTTTACCTTTCTCCATGACTGGAGAAGATCGCAAGTGATGGAAATCTTTTTTGTTGTATTTACTTTTGCTGAGAGTGTGTTTATGGGATGGGAACAGTTAATGAATAGTAGTTAAATAATATATTATTTTATTAAGTATTTTGATAGAGTTAAAGTTATGCCAATTCTTATTTTGTTTGCATATTAACTGTGGCATAAGAATAAAGAATGCTTAAAGTCTAGTAGGCTGACCAATTGAGTCACATCTGGGACAGAGCACCTTACACTTGCCTTTAAATAAAATAAAAATAAGGGTCTAGGCTATCTCTCTGATATGTTTTGAGGGGGTTTGGTCTGGACTGTAACACCTCACTGGGACTGTCAAGCTTTTTAAGAGACCTCCAAGGTTGTCAAAGTGACCAGTGAAGACATTTAAAGCTCCAAGGCTTTTAATTTTTGAAAACAAAAGAGTTATAAGAAAAGGATTGCTTTCTATTTTTCTCTATCGGTTGACATGAGCATTTGATGTGGGAGTAGGGTCATTTGGCCATTTAAACCTGCCCGACCATTCAATAAGATCACTGCTGATCTGATTGTGGTCTCATGACCATTTTCCTATTTGTGGCCCGTATGCCTTGACTCGCTTGTCTATAAAAAATCTCTCTAATTGAACCTTGAATAAATTTAGTCATACAACCTACACCACCTTCAATTCCACATAGCAGCTATACAAAAGGCTGGTTCGGCCACATCTGGAGTATTGTGTCCAGTTCTGGTCACCTCATTACAGGAAGGATGTGGTAGCATTGGAAAAGGTGCAGAGGAGATTTACCAGGATGTTGCCTGGAATGGAGGGAAGGTCTTACGAGGAAAGGTTGAGAGAGCTAGGGCTTTTCTCTTTAGAACGACGAAGGATGAGAGGTGACTTGATAGAGGTGTACAAAATGATCAGAGGTATAGATAGAGTAGAGAGCCAGAGACATTTTCCTAGGGTGGAGGTAGCTTTTACGAGGGGACATAGTTTTAAAGTGAAAGGAGGTAGATATTGGGGAGACGTCAGAGGTAGGTTCTTTACTCAGAGAGTGGTAGGGGCATGGGATGCATTGCCGGAGAGGGTAGTGGAGTCGGCCTCATTAGGGGCACTTAAGCGGCTATTAGATACGCATATGGATGATAGTATAAGGTAGGGGTGGAGGTTAGATAGACCTTAGGTTTAGGGTAAAAGTTCGGCACAACATCGTGGGCCGAAGGGCCTGTACTGTTCTATGTTCTATGTTAACCCTCTGAGATAAAGAGAAAAAAGAAGTCTTACTCCTGCCATAACAGGGGACCTCTTCCCTTATGAACATCTTCCCCAGTCCCTTCAAGATCTTGTTTGTTTCAATAAGGTCACCATTCATTGTTCTAAATTCCAGCAGGTATAGGCCTAACCTATTCAACCTTTCTATATGAGTTAAAACCAGGAATGAGTGGTGTGTACCTTCAGGAAGGCTACCATTACAAGATTATAACGTGCATGACTGACTTCACAGGGTTTCTATTAGAATGGAGTCCCGTCTATTCCATCATTTGATTGAAAGCTAAAAGTACTTTTGGACTTTTTTTTTGATGTGGGTCTATGAATTCCAGTTGCTTGTGCACTTGAATGTTTTTTCAGAGAGCCAGTCACCCTTGCTTTCCTTGGAGGAGAATCCTGAGACTAATGATCCTGAGAATAAAATGTTTGCCTGTGTATTTTGCTTCCAGTATCCTGTATCATTGTTCCCTTTCCCCTATCTCCCACCACCACCACCATTCAGGAGTGATTTTTGTTATACAAGTTCTGCTGACACTCATCTTCTAGTATATTGATAAATCATGCAAATTATGGAAAAATCAGTGCTAGGAGTCTGGAACGTGCTGCCAGGGGTGGTGGTGGAGGCAGATAAGGGGCATTTAAGGGACTTTTAGATAAGCACCTGAATATGCAGGGAATGGAGGGATATGGACCAAAGGCAGGCAGAAGGGATTAATTTAGTTTAGCATCATGTTCAGCTCAACATCATGGGCCAAAGGGCCTGTTCCTGTGCTGTATAGTTCTAAGTTCTGTAAGCCTTTTGATAGGAAAAGAAGCTTCGGCAACATTTTTTCTTAATATTTGGCATATCTATTATCCATGATAAGGGCATCAATAGAATTAAAAGATTAAAAAGTTACACATTTCATGGTAACTTGTCTAAATCTGCACGTTAAATTATGTTTTGTATCTGTAAATAGCTTAATTGCAATTCTATTTCAAATTCCCAGCCTGTCTTAAAAGCCTGAACTGCTAGTTAGATTTTCTTTCATTAGATCAGCTGAAAAGAGCATGTGTTGTTTAATAATTTCTAAATTTGCATGAATATGAAGGTAATAGAGAGATAAGGATCCTGCAAGTGAAGACAGTTTCAGTATGGAAGGGCAAAATGTGTTGGTACAGGTTTGGAGGGCTGAAGGGCCTGTTCCTGTGCTGTTTCTTTGTTCTGGAGGATAAAAACATTGTACAGGGACAGATTCTGAGGCTTTAACAGAGAATTTGTACTCCCTGTCTGTCCAGCTATTAAAACTAACAGACCCTCACACTCTCCAGTGGTTCCAGTAATACTTCTCAGTAATTGTTGTGGGATGATTTTTGTTTTCTGGGACATTGAACTCCAACATCCAGCATGAAAGCGAGGTGTAGGACTTGTGGGGTTTGGGGTCTTTGTTTTATAGTGGTGGCCAAGTCAGTGATAGTTGCTGAGGCTACTGATGCCTCACAGCACACAGTGACCCATCTGCAAGACTCAATTGCAGGGTATGCTTCTTCCCTATAAAGGAGGGAGTCACCCTTCTCAGAAAGGCTGAACTGCTATGTACAGTGCAGCACTGCAAATCCATTTCTGAAAAAAAAAATGTGACATAAAAACCTAAAGAACTGCGGATGCTGTAAACCAGAAACAACAGCAGGTCAGGCAACATCTATGGAGAGATATCAGAGTTAATGTTCCAGGTCCAGTGACTTCTGAGGAAAGGTCACTGGACCCAAAACATTAACCGATTTCTTTCCACAGATGCTGCTTGACTTGCTGAGCTTTTCTGGCAACTTCTGTTGCTGTTTGTAACAAGCAATGTGAATTGCTTGCTCTGGCTGACTCACCCGTGCACCCCACTAACACACACTCTTCCCTCTCTATACAAGTGCATTTTCACACATCATTGTGCCCTGTGCCAGCAAGCTTTTCTCTTTCCATCCATTTGCAAAGGGCTTTTTATTTCATGTCAACAACAACGCCCCTTTAAAACCTGCCCCCAAAATGCATGCTTTTGTGAGGTTTTTTTTCCTCTCTGTTTCTTTTGGTCGACCCCCTCATTGGGGTGTTGGAGGGGGCGTTGGAGATGATGGTTCACTGTCAGGGTAACATGGTTAATCCTTGTGGGGCACACGCTACAATGAGCGGACTTCAGATGAGATTTGCTGTGTTTCAATTTTGGGGAATGCAGTGTGCACTTGGATCAGTGACTGAGCATTGTATCAGGGACTTGTCAGCCAGATTTTGAATGACCAAGGAGAGAAAACAAAAGGGGGAATTGAATCATATGCGCATACAGGGGGAAAAAAATGCTGGTAGGTCTTGGAGGGCAACTTGCGCGACCTCAAATGATTTAGAAGCCTCTACTTTTAATGAAATGGTTTCAGTGACAGGACAGTAAAAGCCTGTAATGGATTAGGCCACCTAATGTAATGAAATTACTCACTCTGCCTTTAAAAAACTGCGCAATTAATATTTACAGAGAGCTGATAGGCTTCTGTGCTCGGTGGGACGCTTCTCATTTGGTGAAGGTTAAGGGGGGGAAACATAGCTCTGTGGCTGAGGGAGACAAGAGGTATCCCGGTATTACAGGGTGCCAAGCCTGAGTTTTACTAGTGAGGTGGATAATCTTTGTGGCCAGGCTTTTCGGGACCCCTGCTTGGCTGAGAATGGGAAGAGAGGGAAAAAAAGGTCTTTTATTTTGCTGGCTGTCCCCACTCCTTCTGATGTATTTGTCATTTTGTTTTATCTCAGGCAACTGGACAATAACCACATAAGTTGCATAGAGGATGGAACGTTCAGAGCCTTGCGTGACCTGGAGATTCTGTAAGTATCGGTCTGCTCTCTGTCTCTCTCTCTGTCTTTCACTCTCCTCCTCCTCCGTTCCTGTCGTTTGTAAGCTTTAACCCATTCCTGCTTTGGAGAAAGCTGCATCATATGTATACTGGGAGGTGAACGCATGCTTACCAGGCAGAGGCACCTCTCTGGGACTGCTTTTTACACACCTTTTGCAGCATGTGGCAGAGAGGGAGGCACGTGTGAGGCAAGAGAGACAGCAAAATATAAGATTCAAGAATATGTCTTGAGGCAGCTGTATGTAAATTCACAGGAACTTAAGTTGCAAGCAAGCAGAGAGAGAAAAAAAAGGGCAGAAATCAGCCCCAAAATGAAAAGGGTGAGAATGGAGCTAGGGAGAGTTCAGAGATTATCACCAAATGTCATTTTATCTGTAATTATATGATGTCTGTTCATCAACTCTCTTGTTCTGATCGGATCCTCACACTTGGAATGATATATCTGCTACGTGTACAAGTGTTTTTTTTTGTACTGGGGAGAGTGTCGGTCGCCTTTTGATCTTTTCGTACGTGCAATTGAAGCAAACTGCGTGCTCAAAATTATTAACACTTTTTGACGTGAGCTATGAATGAACGATTTGTTGTTCATTGTGTGTGTCAGTGCTCATTGCTCGGATGTCAAATAGACATCTCTCTCCCATCCCATTTACAGGAAGGTTTGTTGCGGACTCTGGGAGCTGACTGGGGATTTTCATAGGTGGCTTTTCCCTGGGATTGGGGAGATTTCAAGACTAGGGGGTCACATTTTTAAGGTGAGAGGAGAGAGATTTTAAAAAAAGACACGAGGGGCTTTTTTTTTAACACAATGGCGCACTTGTGGACTGAACTTCCTGAGGAAGTGTTGGATGTAGGTCCAGTTACAACGTTTAAAAGACATTTGGAAAAGTACATGAGTAGAAAAGGTTTGGAGGGATATGGGCCAGGAGCAGGCAGGTGGAACTAGCTTAGTTTGGGAATATGGTTGGCATAGACTGGTTGGACTGAAGGATCTGTTTCCGTGCTGTATGACTCTATACGGACTTGTGTGGCGGAGTTTGGGACATTTGTATGGTGAATGGAATAGCTACATTTGAAGAAATGTAATTTACTCTTGTTTGTCCTCTGTAGTGACTTGAGAGGAAGTGCAACGATGTCATGAGCAGTGAATATTTTCTCAGTCAGGTGGCAGGTTATTTCTGGATTTCTTGATGGTGGCTCTGTGGTTAGAACTGCTGCCTCGCAGTGACCAGGGACCCAGGTTCGTCTGTGTGGAGTTTGCACATCCTCTGTGTGGGTTTCCACCCACAGTCCAAGAGCGTGCAGCTTGGGTGGACTGGCCTCGGGAAATTGCCCCATAGTGTGCAGGGATGTGGAGGTTAGGTGGATTAGTGATGGTAAATGCAGGGTGATAGGGTGTGGGCGTGAGTCTGAGTGGGATGCTCTTCGGAGGGGGTGGTGGTTGGTATGGACTGAATGAGCCAAATGGTCTGCCTGTCCACTGTAGGGCTTCCATAAGTATTTATCACCCTCTGACCACAAAGGCACTTAGCCTTCAGTGCAATAAAGGAAGACGATCTGAAAGTGTCTGATGAACTGTGCAAACGCCTTGTAAATGATGTCTTCCAGCATTCCACATGCATTTCAACAACCAAAATACTTCTGATCTTCATGCCAATTCCTTAATCCCCTTCAATGTTGTGTGCTTTCTCATGAGCCAGCAATCCCTGGATAGCCAAGGAAGCTAGAAAGGCCAGCAGTAGAGGCATCCAGTTTCATTTTCATCAGTGACAAGTCTTTGAGCTATGGCTCACATTATCCCCCTGCCCATTTGTTTGTGGTGGCTAGTCCAGAATTTCTGATCCCTGTGCAATCTCCTGTGCTATTTTCTGACACAATGATGGTTTTGCTTTAATGACTTGGTGACTATCTTTTTGCTCAAATTTGCCCAAAACCATCAACTCAAAACTTTGAATCTCCGAAACAGGTACCGTCCTTGATGGATGGCATTTGATAAAACTCTTACAGACCCTTGATTTGAAAGGTTACAGCTTAGAGGGAAGAATGAACAAGCCAGGGATAATTTCTAGGGAAAAGCAAAGGCTGCAAGGTGACTTAATAGTCTTTCGAATGATGAAAGTGTTTGATAAGATAGATATAGAGAAGGTGCTTTACACTTCTGACAGCACTAGACTTCGAGAGGAATTCAGCAGAAAGGTCTTTACTGAGGGATCTGGCTATCACATGGGGGATTTGCAGGGAACAGTGAGGACTCATTTCTGGGGGAAGCTAAGTAAGTATGTGAATGAGAAAAAGAGGAAGGAACATCCTGATGAAGTAGGGCAGGAGGAATCTCATGCAGAATATTGTCGCTCACGTGGACCAGTTTGGCTTATTTCCATGTTACAAATTCTTCAAAAGAAAAGGGGGATCAGAAAACTGAGCACCGCTTCAATCTCGACTGCCTTGATACTGATAGATACAACACTGATACATTTTAGTGTAGTTTAGTCCAAATTCATCTTGGGACTGCAACAGGGAACTGCTGCACAAGTATTTTGCCTCAATGGTGGTTTATTTTTGTAGATATATAAAACCATTGCAGGGTGCGCATGGATCCCTTAAAGACAGCTAACTGATACCATTTGTAGAGGATCTCCTTAGGAAATGTAGCCCATGCAGAGATTGCTGTGCTCTTCGTTGTTGCTGAATAAGCTTCCCCGATCATTTCAAATGTTGAAATCCTGTGTCAGTTTAAAAAGAAACTTGCCTGAAGTTTTCTGCAGCATTTGGAAGTTTCTTCAAGATGATGACTGTTATATGTGGTCTCTGGATGGGTACATGAACAGGAAGGGTTTAGAGGGATGTGGGCCAAATGCTGGCAAATGGGACTAGATTAATTTAATAGATGAGCTGCACCGAAGGTTCTGTTTCCATGCTGTACATCTCTGTGACTCTATTGAGTGCTTTCGGAAACCTCCAGTTGCCCCGCATGTCGATCCTGCGGGGATGAAGGGTGGGCAGCAAGGCAAATATGACAAGTGTACAAATTCCAAAATGTTTGCCTTCCCGTCCACCCTCACCGAGTTAGCAAAGGACGAAAGAATGTTGCAATGGGCTTCAGGAGAAGGTGTCAAGAATGCAAGATGGACATTCTGAGTCCATTGGCTAATTTTTTTTGGCGATAATTGCTGATGAAAGCCTGCTATGGATTCAGTGGAGATGGATGCTCACTTAAATGAGTCAGCTGCAGATCCATCAACAAGCCCTCCTTAAACCCCACATTGTTTATCTCAGTGAGTCAGCTAAGTAACAGTAATCCCATTAACTGTGTGCAATGCCCTTGGATACTGATTTATTACTTTAAGAGATTGACCAAATTTTGATGTTGCAAAGTGCTCTCTTTTAGCTCTTCTGTCTCCCTGCCAGAGCAGAAATTGTCATTCTTGGCTTTTTTTTTCCCCATTGCAATGGATTAGTAAATGCCTTTATCATTCTTCCTAATGACTTTATGAAGTTTTACTGCTAGCCCCGTCTGACAGAAATAAAAATGGCAAGATGTTTCCTTGGCAACATGAAAAACTGCAGGAGCAACCTCTGAAGTGTGGTGACCCGAATATCAGATGCGGTAACGCTAGCTGTTTCTGAGCATGTTATCCCAACACAGACGCATCACAGGTCCCCTCCGCATCTCAATCCGCAATGTACCGCATAACTCAACGCCAGTCTCCATGATCTCACTGTCCCACTGTTAGTCTGAGCCAATGCTGTTTCCCAGTGCTGTCTGCAGTCTGGGAAAGGTGCATGGCTGAAGCTTTGGAATTGGGCCCAGACATTACATTACCCGCATAGCTGCACCATCGCTTCCTCATCTTGTCCGTGTTCTGTTGAGTCCACTAAAGTGCTGCTACCATCACGATCCAGGTGCATTTTGCGTAAATCCTCAGCTGTACCTCCCCACCCAAAGAATTGCTGCAGTTCAAAAAAAAAAGACTTTGGGATTTTTTTTGACCGCAGTGATAAATCAGTAACAGTCCCCCTGATGTCAGCACACTTGAACGAGCATAAATCTCCGCACTCCGCAATCAGGAGATGGGAGGGGAAAGAGCGAAACTGACCAAAGGGAAAGCGGCGACATGGGGTGCAGTGCGCTGATGCAACCAGAAAAAAGAACCAAGATGTTTAAGTGTACCGCATCATCTCTATCTGTTCACATCTTGGTGATGCACTTTCAACAAGAAGCATTTGACCAGGAGAGGTACGTTTCTTCATGAATTCTAGGCCGGTTCTTATTTGCAGGATCTTGTTGGTGCACATTTCATCTATTCCGCTCGTGCAGTTGAGCGAAAGCGAGGAATTAACTGAGGGATTGTTTACTTATTCTATCATCTTTGTAAAGTTAGAAATCATTAGGCAAGAGATGTACTTACCTGACTGTGGTCTCCACATTATTTGATTCTATATTGGTTATATCCCCTTCTTGCTTTAAATCTTGTTCCTTTGTTTGATGTGTTTCAATTTGGTAGTCGGCTTAGCTGTTTGAATTGTAGCTAAACTCGGCATACACTAATGTACAACACTAAGATATTGATATTAGTCATACATGTTACATAATATAATGGTTAAAAGAAAGGATCTTTCCTATGTATTTCATTTGTGCTGAGAACATTTTGTTCAATGGTTTTCAGAATCTTATCGATTCTGATATTGAGGGGCTGCCTCTTGTTGTATGTTTATTGGGTGGCAAGAGCAATTTTTGCATTGTCTGGTACCTTAATGATCCTGCAATCCTTCCATGAGCATGACTTTGAACATCAGGATAAATGAGTCTTGTTTAATTTGAAATTACCTTCCCTTTTGTCTGCATTGAATGCGGTGAGATTTTTATGAGTTTTCGCATCCCTCAAAACTCACCCTGTGCCAAGGGAGTTGATCGCAGTGGGAACAAGGGAGCGGGTGCTGTGTTAAGCCTCAATGTAACCAGGGTAAGGATAT